GTTAGCCAGTAGTGAATTGTAATGCCCTTTAAATTGCTTAAATCTCAGAGCTCAACACTGTGAAATGTGGAGTAGCTCAGGGTTAAAAGTGTTTTCTTTTGGTTGGATGTTTAGGGTTTTCATATTTTATGTCAGTTGCTACTATTATTAAGTTTTCTATATTGAAAAATAATTTGGTATAATAATTTTCTATCACCATAACAAACATCTGAGATAACCAGCTTATAAAGAGAATAGGTTGGGGCTAGGTGTATAGCTCAGTGGTGGAGTGCTTATCTAGTGTGCTTAGGGCCCTGGGTTGGATCTCCCGCACTGAGGGGTAAAACAGAGGAAAGGTTAATTTTGGTTCATAGTTGTGAAGGTTTCAGCTCATGATCAATTGGCTGTATTGCTCTGGGAATGCAACAAGGTAGCACATTCTGACCAACGCGCCTGATGAAGCAAGCTGCTTACTTCGTAGCCACCAAAGAGAGGAAAAGGAAGGCACCTGGTTCCTACTATGCTCTTCAGGGGCACTCCCCCAATGACCTGAAGACCTCACTTGGCCCTGCCTGTTATATATTCTACCATCTCCCAGCAGCACCACACTGGGGACCAGTCTTTAACATACTGGCCTTTGGGGGACACTTAACATCCAAACTATAGCAAATAATGATATTTATATCAGGCAAGAGTTACATGTTGCAAATACTCTAAAGGTCAACTAATCATCAATCATCAGTCATCAATCATCCTAGCATCTAGTGTGGTAGGTAAATGCTAAGTTAGTAGTCTTTTATGTTACCAAAAACAAACAAGCAAAATAAAACAAAACAAAAATGGAAGGAGAAGGAAGAAATTCTCAGTTTTGGGAGTTGGAGAGGGCATTATAGGAAAGGAACTCCAATGGTCACCCTCAAACTTGCCTAACTCCCATTTCACCACTGTGTCCCATGCAGGAGACTCTTAAAATATCTAGAACAAATGCACATCTGGCCTTTCCTTGCATGTTTTCCCACAATTTACCAAGTCAGCCTACTCATTGTCTGTACAACTTGAATTGTTAGAAAGTTGCAGCTATGAGTCCTTAGTGCTCTACCTTAAGTTATCACTGACCATACCAAAGGAAGTGGTTCTTTCAAGCTGTCAAGTTTTATGAACACGCATGCAATAATTCACAGAAAGCATTTACCGCGGACTGTTAGTATTTTAGCAGAGTTCACAGAATTGCATGGAGCCAAGTAACCACATTACATGAAAAATGTCTTATCTGTTTCATTAATACTTCCTTTGCCATGGGAAGAATGAAGGAACTTTGGATTGGGCAAAGAGGAGTGGGGGAGGGGAGGGGGCATGGGGCATGAAAGATGGTGAAATGAGACAGAAAGGAACTCCAATGGAAGTTATAGGAAAGGAACTCCAGTGGTCACCCTCAAACTTGCCTAACTCCCATTTCACAGGAGGTGAAATGGTACATATATTATTGCACAAATGGTGCAACTCTGTATCATGTACAACCAGAGAATTGAAATGTTGTGCTCTATTTGTGTGTAATGAATTGAAATGCATTCTGCTGTCATGTATAACTAAGTAGAACAAATTAAAAAATGGAAAAAAAATAAAATTATTTTTAAGGACATTATTTTAAAATAAAAAAAATACCTCCTTTGCTCACTAGAATGGCAGCTATTAAGAATACAAACAAAAATAAGTGTTGGTGAGAATGTGGGGAAAAAGGCACACTCACACATTGCTGGTGGGACTGCAAATTGGTGCAACCAATCTGGAAAGCAGTATGGAGATTCCTTGGAAAACTTGGAATGGAACCACCATTTGACCTAGCTATCCCACTCCTCTGTTGATACCCAAAGGACTTAAAATCAGCATCTACAGGGACACAGCACATCAATGTTTATAGTAGCACAATTCACAATAGCTAAATTGTGGAACCAACCTAGATGCCCTTCAATAGATGAATGGATAAAGAAGCTGTGACATATATACACAATGGGACATTACTCCGCATTAAAAGAGAATAAAATCATGGCATTTGCAGGTAAATGGATGGAGTTGGAGAATATCATGCTAAGTGAATTAAGGTAATCCCACCAAAAGGCCAAATGTTTTCTCATCTATAATGGGTGGATGGGGGAAGCATGGGAGGAATGGAGGAACTTTGGATGAGGCAAAAGAGAGAGAGGGAAAGGGAGGGCTCATTGGGGTAGGAAAGAAGGTGGAATGAGATGGACATCATTACTCTAAGTACATGTATGAAGACAAATGGTGTGACTCTACTTTGTGTACAACCAGAGAAATAAAAAAATGTGCTCTGTATGTGTACTATGAATTGAAATGCATTCTGCTGTCATGTATAACAAATTAGAATAAATAAATAAATAAATTTAAATTAAAAAAAATACCTCCTTTGCTTTGATAAAAGCCCTCCATTTGGAAATTGGAAGAAAATCACATAGTATTTTGATGGAAGTCCCTCTTTCAAACCTGAACTGTGTCTTCAAAGTTCCAAAGTCTTCAACTTTCATTTGACTCCTCTTGTTATAATGTTGACAGCAATCAAGAGAGGGCTGTAACTGGGTTCAAATAAAGGCATGTGTGAAAGGAGGGCTGGAGGAGTCATCAATCACTTGGTCATGGCTTTTACTGGCCATGCTGTGTCCTCAACTTCACTTCTGAGGAACTAGAATCAAGAACAGCTTTTGCCCAGAAAGCCACTAAATCATATTATCATGGAACTGGAAGGACAACCCCAATATTTGACAGTTATTATAGCTTTCCCCGGAATATCTACCAGATTTGTAAATCCACAAGTCTGCAAGATGAAGAAAGGAACACAATGAATAGAATGTGCCAGGTACATAATCTAAATAACTCTTTTTTTCTGAGAATGTACTGGGGAGAAGAGAGACTGGAGCAAATTGGAGGACTCCTGCCCCATCTAAAAGGAGGTAGCTGCCTCTCAATTTCAGCAGGTCATTATTGTGAAGAAATACAGACTCACCATGGCCAGGAATCTGGATTTTATGTGAACAATCCCAAAGTATGAAATACTCAAAAGCATTTATGTGAACCAACACAGCGCTTAGAGAAGTTCAACAAGAGGTTATGTCTGGAGTATGGGCATTGAAGATAGAACTGTGAGTGGGTCCATGTGGTTTTTTGCAAATAAACTTTGCCATTCCCTTCCCCACTCCAGAAAAGACTGAGCTAAGCTCAGTACCACCTGGAGAAATGCCCAGCTGCCCTTTGAGATTGGTTGACCTTATTAGGTGAAAAAATGGCCCAGTCCTGAAAGTTCAAGCAAATGTGAGGACATGCTTAAACGGTTTTGTTTCATTTTGTGGTACTGGGGATCTAACCCAGGGTTTCGTGCAGGTTAGGCAAGAACTCTGCCACTGAGCTACATTCCCAGCCTTTTTTAAAATTGTATTTTGAGACAGGGTCTTGCTGAATTACCCAGGCTGGCCTTGAACTTGTGATCCTCCTGCCTCAGCCTCCCAAATAGCTGGGATTACAGAAAGCAGTCACATGCAGCTATACCTGAATTCTTTTGTTATTATGGTGATACTGGGGATTGAACCAGGGGTGGAGGGGTTGGGGGAGTGGTTTAACCACTGACCCACATCCCCAGCCCTTTTTATATTTTATTTAGAGACAGGGTCTTGATAAGTTGCTGAGGCTGGCTTTAAATTCGTGATCCTCCCTGACTGCTGGGATTACAGCATGTGCCACCATGCCTGGCTATACATAAATTTTTGATGTTAGAAAATTTAACATTTTTTCTCTCTAAAAAAAAAATAATAAAAGTCCCTATACTGGGTGCACACTCTGAGTACTGTGTTCAACTGAAAGTTACTAAATGGATTTGGAATCAACGCTCTCAAGGCTCGAGATGCTGTGATACCTTTAATTTTGATTGACTTGTCCTCTCCAGGGGATCGGATAGCAAAGGTGCCTGAAAGAAACACTGGGGAATTTCAGTCCTGATTTAAGACAAATGATTTATGTTCGGAGTATGCAGTATGTTCGGAGGACCTGCTGGAGGAATGTGGCTTTTGTGCTTCTTCCCATTTATCATGGTGTTTACAAATCCTGTTTGAAGTTGAAAGTAAATCATCATCCTGCTGCTTAGCAGCTGTTTTACAGCTAAGAATTTTAGGTGTGATTGAGAGTGAACACATCACTGGAGTCAAGTGAAGAAGTGCAGGGAAAGGAGGTAGGGGGGTGGCAGGGAGACCCCTGTGGTGTGTATACGGCTTGATCTAGAAATGGTGCTAATGGCCCAGTCCTGAAAGAGGGCTGCACCTCTCATTCAGAGAATGACAGTTGAATGACACTGCTCTATAAAACACGGAGGTGTTTCCCATTTATATGTGCTGGGATTTGGAGTTTCGATCAGGAGGTAGGCTCAAAGAACAGCCTGGTCTCTCAGTTTCAGATATGTGTATAAAGTATGCAGTGGAGGCTGGGGACGCAGCTGAGTGGTAGAGCCCATACTTAGTATTTGGGCAGCCCTTGGATTTGATCCCCAGCACCCCAAGAGGGAAAATAACATGTTGAGTGGTTCATCAAGTGAGAAAGTCAGAAGAGCCTTCACTCCATGGAACTTCATGCTAATCTACCTCTTGTGCCTCCCTGGTCATATCTAGGCATCTTAGAGCAGAGAAGACTGAGAGGTTGTATCTGACTTCCAATACTTGAAAAAACCACTGTGTGAAACAGGAATTAGACTGCATGGAGTCGAGTCAGGGCAGTGGGTGGATGTTAATGGGAATCAGAAGTCAGGCTTGACAGTAGGAAGAATTTTAGACCAATTAAATTGTTTGAAAATAGAAAAGCCCCTGAGTTCAACAATCCCTTGGTGGTAGATATTCTAAAAGAGATTCAAGCATCATAGTAGGGGTATGAGAGATGAAGACTGTGTTCTTATTTAATTTGAGATTGTGTGATTCTAGTAATCTGCCTTGGGATCTTTTTTGTTTGTTCATTTGTTAATTTGCTTTTTGCAGTGCTGGGGATTGAACCCATGGCCGCGTGCTTTCTAGGCAAGTGCTCTACCACTGAGCTACACTGGAAGCCCTGGTTTAGAGTCTTGAACAGAACAACTGTCCTGCATTTCTTCCTTCCTGGACCATAAATAATGTTGTTTTGTTTTGTGGTGTTGGGGATCAAACCTACAACCTGCACTTGCTAAGCAAACTACCACTGAGCTACATCTCCAACCCAATAAATAATGTTTTAACAGCAATCATCTGGGCATGTGCAAAGCCCTGGGTTCAATCTCCAGTACAGTAAAAACAAAAAACAAATAATTTTTGCATCAATAATTTGACTTCTTTGGGTTTCCCGTGTGCAGAAGTGAAGATAGAAGCAGATAGAGAAGCTAAACAGGTAATATATAAGATACAAAATATATGGAAGCCTCAGAAGTCAAAATTGTTAAGTATGTACTTTAAAATAAACTTACAGCACATTTGAAAGCTGAAACAGAGTGATTTGTATTTGGTCTAACTGTGTGTTACCCACGTGATTAAGAGCATAGGCTGTGAGCCACATTTCTGGGCTCAAGTCCTGGCTGTTGTAAACTAGACCTTGGGCAAATTATTTAATCTCTCTTTTTCATCATCTGTAAAATGGAGTTAATGATAGTATCTACCTCATAGAATGTGTGGGACAAGTAAGAGGGTTGAGGACTTATAAAGCATTGAGTGCTGAGCACAGCATTGTTGTACAGCAATGAAAGCTCTTTACAGACTTGACCTAATGAACTCATTTTACTTTTTTGTCCATAAAGAATTTATTTCATTCAAACAATATCCCTGTTGATGTTTGAATAGTGTTTAACTATTTTAACAATTTTTTTTATGCCCACGCTGGTGACATTATGAAAACTACAGGAATGATGATACATCTGAAACAAAGACGTTTTTGTAACCAAAAAAAATTTACTTTTGACCAGATATTTTGCAGGCTTAAACCTTCTAGACCTGTGCTAATTTGACTCTTTCACTGCATAGCAGAAATACAGTTTCACTACATGAAATTTTTTTGTTATGAAAGAAGTATTCATCCCCTAAGGTAGAGTGTGAAGCTAATAGTATTTTTCTACATTCTGGGAATTGGTCCACATTTATTGTATTTTAGCAAAAAATAAACACATAAAATACTAATTAAGATATAAAAACTAAATCGGGGGTGGGTGGGTATTGGAGATTGCACTCAGGGACATTCAACTACTGAGCCACATCCCAGCCATATTTTGTATTTTACTTAGAGACAGGGTCTCACTGAGTTGCTTAGCGCCTTGCTGTTGCTGAGGCTGGCTTTGAACCCACAATCCTCCTGTCTCAGCCTCCCCAGCTTCTGGGATTACAGGCGTGTGCCACCACACCTGGCATGAAAGCTAAATTTAAGGTACCTTGGTAATCCTATAAAAAGCTAAAATTTAACTCTAAAATATAAATTCTTTTTTTTTCCTGGAGATTGAACCCAAAGATACTTTATCACTGGGCCACATCCCAAATCCTTTTTATTTTTTTATTTTGAGGCAAGATCTCACTGAGATGCTTACGAGCTCACTAAATTGATGATCCTCCTGCCTCAGCCTCCCCACCAGCTGGGACTACAGATGCATGCCACCACTCCTCAGATGAACTTTTAAAATAATAATCTGAAACTAATAAACACAAACAGTATGCATAATCATCAAATCTGTTTCCAAATAATTTGAGTTGATTTTAGGAACAAAATGTTGGAAAACAATAAAGTGGACTATTGTACACATAAATGTTCCTTAAGCATTACTGGATTAAAGAATATGTACGGGATGAAAACTTACTCCTTCATCATTTTTTGACTCTTTGTAATGAGCAGGGCTACCCTGTTTATCAAAAATTAAGAACTAGGACTTAATTTTTTAAATCTTCAAAATTGTTTATCTTTTACTCAGATTTACCTATAACTAACTTATCTTTTATCCTGTTTACTTTTTCTTATGTGTTTCTATCTATAATATTTTTTAAATCACCTGAGGATAAGTTATGGCTCTTTATATCTAAATCCCTCATTGTTTATTTCCTATAAATATGGGTATTCTCTTTCATGGCCACAGTATCATAATCAACTCTAATAATTTTAACACTGATATAATACTTATATCTAATCTTTTGTGTATATTTCAATTTTGTCAATTGATACAATAATATCCACCCCCACTCCGTACTGAGGATTAACCTAAGGGTGCTCTACCACTGAGCTACATTCCCAGCTCTTTTTATTTATTTTTTTGAGACAGGGTCTTCCTAAATTACTGAAGCTGGCCTCAAACTTGTGATCCTCCTTCTTTAGCCTCTCAAGTACCTGGGATTACAGGGTTGCACCACCATGCTTGGCATTCAGTAATGTCCTTGATAGCGTAGTTTTTCCTTTCAGTACAGAATCCATTCCCAGCCAGGTATTGCATTTAGTTAACAGGACTTTTTAGTCTCTTTTAGGATCAGCCTTTCTTAAACTTGTTATTTTTGAAGAATATAATTTTTTTCTTCTTTTGCAATAGAGCACTGGGAACAATTTGACTTTCTGATGCATATTGTGTTTAAAAGATGATTCACTCTGTTGAATTCTTGGCTGAGCCCTGATCATGATGCTTCATCCCTGTATCATGATGCTTCATCCCTGCGTCATGGTGCTTGGATGATGGTACATGAGGTTTATTTCTTTTTTTATTTTTTCATTTTAGATATACATGACAGTAGAATGTATTTTGACATATTATACATTCATGGAGTATGTACATTTGACATAATACATTCTTGTGGTGGCACATGATGTGGAGTTACACTGGTCGTGTGTTCATCTATGAACATAGGAGAGTTACGTCTGATTCATTCTGTTGTTGTTCCTATTCCCATCCCTCCAGTACCTGAGGTTTCTATGTGGACTCCTGCAGTCTTAAGAGAGGAGCCTGCCCTTGAAGAGGCTTAGTACAGCCATTCACCAAATGCCCGCACATTGGAGTGAAATTTGTAAATATAAAAGCATTTGCTTCTTCTTAAAATATTCAAAATTACCAAATAATTCAGTGATCTTTAGTTCAGAATGAAAGCAAGTGGAAGAAGCCCAAGGAGGGCAGACAGAGTGCAGTGGAAGTGCAGGTCTACACTGTTAAAAATGGCAGTCAGCAGATGAGCTGATACTTTTATTCTAAGAGACAGACATGTCATGTTCAGGGAAAAGGTGACGGAAGGCCTGAATTAGAGTGGTGGTAGTAAGAATGAAATGGGGGGGATGGTTGGGACAGGCCCTGTGCCTTCAAAGAACAATGGGAGTGTGATAGAACATGTGCTTAGCATGCAGAAGCCCTGGGCTCACACCCTAGAGCCCAAAACAAATGAATACATAGATGGGGGGAGGGTGTGATCACAATTGTTCATGTAGGATGTTTGAACCCCATTCATGTGTGGAACTGTGTGGTGATCTGGGACTCTTTGGCTTGGAAAGGTATCATAATTTTGGTCTTGGATGTCTTAGGTTCTGTTGATGAAAGTGTCCCCGAGGGTGAGCGCTAGAGATGAGCACTGATGAGGTCCCTAAAGAAGGGAGCAAAAGGGACCAACAAAGGAGGGCCTTGGACCTTGGTGCTTAAAGGAAGAAAAAATAAAACAGAAGTGGTGTTTGAAGGGCCAAGGAGAACACACTGCCCTGGAGTCAAGGGAAGACAATTGAGAGGGAGAAGATGAAGTGGCAGCAGTGAGGGCCAGCCGACACGGAGAGGAGGCCGGCAGATCTGTCAATGGGAGGAACAGCTTGGACAAGGATGAACTCCCAGCCAGACTGCGGTGCGGGTGGGGGGAAGTAAATGTGAGAGGAGAAGGAGGAGGGCACAAGGCAGAAGTTGGAGAGGTAGTCACCAGTCAGGACCAGCGGGATCCTGACACTGACTTCCTGTGTAACTCAGTCTCAGCCAAGTGTGGAGCCATTTCTCCACTCTGATGGCTTTCTTAGTCATTCAACAATCACTTCTATCTCAGAAACAGTGAGAATGAAGAGGTATTTTTCCCTTGGTCAGTAAGGGAATGTACCTCATCAGTACCATTATGTGATCTGAAGGGACTAGGGTGACCCACATTAAAAACCTCGGAGTATTCCACCCTCGAGAGGGCACACAAAAACACAAACCAGACCCTTGTAACAGAGAGAGTGTAGAAAAGTGGAGCTAGCTTTCATGGGCGTTTTGCATGTGTGTTTTTTCTTTATTTTTCTGTTTCATCTCCAAGAGCCTCATAATGCCTAGTATTAAAAAAAAAAAAGAAAAAGTAAAAGCCCTCCTTTAGTCGAGGGTGGTCTCGGCATGTGGAGAGCCTCACACTGGGCCAATACCAGGGACGGGAGTAGACATGACCATGACCTCGGGTGATATCTGCCTGTTCTAGAAACCTCATCTGGAGCCTGGAGCCGCAGGGTTGCCCGAGATCATTCAGTTGACACTCCTGATAGGTCCTTTGGAGAAGTTGAACTAATATAAGTTGATTAAGAGAAAACACAAAAAATACAAAGAAGGAATTCTAATAAGATTTATTTTATTTATTTTTTTTTAAATTTTTTATTGTTGGCTGTTCAAAACATTACATAGTTCTTGATATATCATATTTCACAATTTGATTCAAGTGGGTTATGAGCTCCCATTTTTACCCCATATACAGATTGCAGAATCACATCAGTTACACATCCATTGATTTACATATTGCCATACTAGTGTCTGTTGTATTCTGCTGCCTTTCCTATCCTCTACTATCCCCCCTCCCCTCCCCTCCCCTCCCCTCTTCTCTCTCTGCCCCCTCTACTGACATTCATTTGTCCCCCTTGTATTATTTTTCCCCTTCCCCTCACTAAGATTTATTTTATATACTTTCCAAATCCCCAAAGACCCTTTATGCACCAAAGCAAAATCAGAACATTGAGCCTTGGAGAATATTGATTTATTTATCCAGTTGTTTGAGTGAAGCTTGGTTTTCTCTTCTTCGTTCTTTCTTTTTCCTTCCACCTAAGGTGGACTGTAGGTCGCAGTTGCCTGAAGAATACAATTTTGGTGTTTTCTTTAGGTGTGATAGAGTTTGAATTTTCTTCCATTCTTTATAACCTACGAAGTGTAAGGCAGTCAAAAGAGTAAGACTGATGAGTTTTCCTAGGAGCACTCCTACACTTGACATCAAAATAATAGAGTGCTTTTATTTTCTAGGCACTTCTTTGTGACTTTGTTATTTTAAAGGATAGCAAAAAAGAAAAAAAAAAAAGGCTATCGACATCAACACAAGCTCATCTCTAATGATACTGGTTTTGCAGAACTATAATTCCATGCTCACTCCTACCCTCCTTTCCTAGAGCCACATCTTCCACTTGAATGTCAACAAAATGGCAACTCTCAGCCAGGGAACATTCTTGGTTCCCGAGGCAGGGAACTAAGCCAGGCACTTGTCCATTTGTTTTCAAATGAACTAGTTTTGATGTTGTAAATATTTAACCATTCACTGTAGTATTCTTACCACTTTCTATTTGATTTTCAGTTAATTTCATTTCTTCCAGGCAGATAAATGTTTGTCACTTTCCTGAACCCTCTTTAAGCAAGTATTGATTATATTTGAGGGATGTGGTTTGAGAAGGAACAAAAAATGGGGTCTGGAAGGCATATTTTTCCCATTGATTGGGGAAAGGAGGCCATGGAAAACTATGTCCACCAACAATAACAGATGTAAGGGTCAATCTTCATGATGGCCATGGGTATTTTTATTGTTCTTCCTGCTATCTGTGCTTGAATTGCTGGTAGCAATGGATAAAAGCAAAGGATTTTCTCCTTCTCAGTTTTTGGTTTTGAGAGTCCAGTGGAAAGACATTAGCTATTAAGGCTACTGGAGAAGGCAGCATGATCTTATCTCTAAGGAAAACAACTGCTGTCAGCTTTCCTTCAACTTTGACTTGTCTGGGTTTCTGAGAGCCCATTTCTTACTGGAATTTGCTCTTAGAAAGAAACTCTAAGAATGCATTAGGCAGATGATTTTGATTTACAGTTCTGTTTACACTTTTAGTGATGTATTTGTTTATTTTAGGAGAAAGAGCTCCTTTTAACATGTATTTTATGCTTTTGGCTTCATTTGCAACTCTTTTAAATTTGGGATATATTGCCCTCAGGAAAGATATTTTGTTCTATCTTATTTTTTCCTTTCCCCTTTCTTCCTTTTTCCCTATATTATGAAGCTCCTGCAATCCCAAGTCTGGACAGTAACACAAAAAGTTGACCAAAGATTGAATGTCTAGGCTAATCATTCATTTCAGAATGTCTGATGGAGCCCAGTGTGGTGACTCATTCCTCTAATCCCAGAGATTTGGGAGGCTGAGACAGGAGGATCGCAAGTTCGAGACCAGCCTCAGCAATTTAGAGATCCTTAGCAATTTAGGGAGACCCTGTCTCAAAATTAAATAAAAGGAAGGAAGAACTGACAGACAGACCGGATGTGGCTCTGTGGTAAAGCATCCCTGGGTACAACCTCCAATAGCAATAACAACAACAACAAAAAGAATATCTGATAGAGCCTGGTGCTGTGGCTCATTCCCATCATCCCAGCAAATTTGGGAGGCAATTGAAGGATGGCAAGTTCCAAGATCCTGTCTCAAAAATAAAAAATAAAAAGAACTGGGGCTGAAGCTCAGTGGTAAAGTGCTCCAGGGTTCAATCGCCAGTACCGTAAAAAATAAAATAAAAATAAAAATAAATAAAAGAATGTCTGTTGGCACTTAGACCACAAATGACTTTAAGGTTAACGACCATAAGCATGAGTCAAATTGGAAACAGTACCTTGTAGAGCCAGTCTGTCTGCCTGGTCACTTCACAGTTTATAAAACTTGACTCCTGGCTGCAAAGCTAATTGCCAGAAGGCCCAAGGAGAGCTCTGAGTTACCACTCAGTCCTTTGTGGACTGTGCAGCCTGAACCCGGACTGGTTCTTCTCGAGGAATTAGGAAGAACATTCTATATTTTCCTCATCTAATTTACACAAATATTTACTTTAAGAAAGAGGATACTTTAAATTATTGTTCAACGGAAAATTCCTAAATAAAGCCCACAAACATGATACAGAACTATTTTCCTTCAAGATTATTGTATGTCAGAGTCTTTTCTTGCCTCTTTCCTATTTAGCTGTGGATTTGCACAAAATACCCAGATGTTTTTCAACAGTGTGAGGTGAAAGTGTGGAACTGAAAGAACACTCTTGGAATCTGAAATAAGAGAACTTGGGGGAGGAGGGGAAGGAGCAAGATATACCTTGGGCATGCAGATGCGCCATAACTGAGCATTCCGTAGTTTCTTTCTAAAGCATTCTATGGAAAAAGTTTAGCTAAAGTTCTGAGAAAAACTCTTCTTTTTGCTTTTAATTCCAATATATCAACATTTTTTTTTAATGGTATGGGGATTTAATCGAGAGCCTTGCACATGCTAGGCAAGTGCTTTACCACAAAAGTACATCCCCAGCCCTTCAGTATATTCGTATTTGTGATTCTTGTGCCTGGATTTTAAATTTAGCTTCTTTCAATTTTTCTAATCAAATATTTTCCAAATATCTACTTAGGTTGGAAGGAAATTGACATTCTAAGAGGTTTGCTTCCCTGGTCTTTTGGCAAAGATCGAGTGTAAAAGAGTCACTCCAATATTTTTAACACATGAATAAAATGATCATAAAACCTTCCCATTCCCCGTTTATTTCTCATTAAAATGCCAGAGTGGAAACGATTCACAGGCCTGCTCTGCATTCAGACATTTCAGTCTGCTGCACTCTGTCGTCCTCTTGTCCGGGGCCACCTGTCTGTGATCACTGTCTCGTGCTTGCTGAAAAAGGTTTCCTTCTGGAGGCTGTGCCTGCCCTTGGTCTGTGGCTTTGACACTGAAGCACTTTTGTCTGCAAAAGACAGTACATTATAGCTGCCGGCTCCACTCAGCTGCCTGCTCTGCCCCCGTCACTTCATTCTTGGGAGGTTTCTGGGTTTCCTGGGAGATGAAGCATGAGCAACATTTGCTCCAGCCTCAGTAATTTCCGAAGGCCTTGAGTCCTGTTTTGTTGTTCAGGTTTCCAGGGTTGGGTGAGGGGCATGAGAATTCCCAGCAGGGGCAATTACCACTACACATCAAAACTGGTGCCATGCGACTCTGTCACATTTTTCTAAAGAGTGGCTATCGTGATGCTTTTAAAGTTGGGCTGTGCTTCAGAAGCCAAACAGAAATTGTAAAGAAATGTCCACAACAAATCCGTGTGTCAACATCTGAGCTAAAATGGAGTAAGTGTGTATGCTGCACATTCAGGGCTGCCTCAAATCCCTTTTGGAGTTAATAATATCACGTGTTGGAACAACTGAATTGTTGAACTGCAGTCAGATTGCCATATTTATAATTTTTTATATGACCTTTAATGAATCGTAATATATTTCTGAGTTGAAAGGAATAATAGCATTCAATTTATTGTTTTTGCCCTGATGGCCTTTTATTCCCTCATTAATGTCAGTCTGATGACACTGCTGTATTATTGGAATTTAAGTGGTTCCTACCCGAGCCTTACTTGGTCATTCAGGAACCCCCAAATAATGTAAAGAGAACAGAAACACTGTATATCAGACTCCTAGTTAATACAGTACTTGGGGATGCTGTTCCTATATTAAATGAGATGATCAGCCATATCTCAGCCTCTCCAAGAGACCAAACAGTATCCAAATTATAATGGCAGCATGGCTACATTTTCAGCTTGGTTAATCCAAAAATAAATTCTAATAGCTGCTGTTCAACATGGTTTTAAATTTCCTGATGCAACAGGCCTTGAATGTTTATTTTAAAATTTTTTACCTAGCTCCAAATAGCTAACTATTTGGTTTTATACAGCTATGCCAAAATGAAATACAAGAGAACATTCTTCTTATTTGGATGATGATATAAGACCAATCTTTTCTTTCTTTTCCTTTTTTTTTTTTTTTTTTGGTGGTGCTGGGAATTGAACCCAGGGCCTTGTACATGCAGGGCACGCACTCTACCAACTGAGCTCTATCCTCAACCTGCTGTTTTTAACTGTGAGTCTCAACTTCTCTCTCCCCTGACTCTCCCTCTGTCTTTCTTGCATTACTTGAAGCCCTCACTGCTCCATATCTCCTTTATATCTCAAGATAAGATCAAGATTTCTGCACAGTATTCAGGTTTGTCTCTCCAGCCTCATACCTGAGGGCCTCCTTCCTGTCCTACTGCACAAGTACTCCAGTTACCAGAACCACTTTCAGTTTCTGAGCAATACCATGCTTCTTCCCTCTTTTTGCCTTTGTACATGCTATTTGTCTAACTAGAATCCAGATTCTCCCCTCCCTAATTATGAGTATATCCATAACATCATATCTTTATTTATTCCTGTGACTAACCACATCCTATCATAAATTTATCTCTCTTCCCTTTTAAACACCAACTTGTGAGCAGAGACCATGTGCATTTTATTCACCATTGAACTAGAGCCTACCACAGTGCTTGGTATATAGTAGGTGTTCAGTAAATTTTTGTTTAAGGCTCAGTTGAGTTTTGTTGTCACTCAGCTTGCTTTACATGCAAAGAAATCTCTTGACCTTTGAATTTATTGATGGAGAGCATAGAGCAGAGAAGAAGATTGTATCCTCGGATGTTTCATAACTCTGCAGACTCAGCCTCTTATGGGTTAAAGGTAGCACAAAAGAGCTGTGCTCTCATATGAGTCTACATAGTGCTGTTTTTCTCATTTAGCACTAAATCAAGTAGCATTCTATGCCAGGAAATCAAAAGAAAGAAAAATTATCCTCTTTAAGTGGTAAAGATGATCGTGGGGTTTTCCATCTGTAGGTAATTATTTTAAATTATTTTAAACTTTGCCCCTTATTTTTTATGCAATTAGGAGAAGATTGTCTGCTACATTAATCCCACTTGCTTGAATGTTCATTGTTGGTGTTTAACTACAGTACACAAGCTTCACAAAGGACGTTCACTGCTACATTTCCACTGAAAAGGTGACTTAAAACTGTTCCTCTTTAAAATATTCATACACACACACATACACACACACACACTTTTTTTTTTTAACACTACTATGGTTTGAGCCCAAGGGTGCTCTATCACTGAGCTATTCCCATATCCCTTTTTATTTTTAATTTTGAGACAAGGTCTCACTGAGCTACCCAAGCTGGCCTCAAATTACAATCCTCCTGCCTCAGTCTCCCAAGTAGCTGGGATAAGATATGTACCATTATACCTGGTTTAAACTATTTCTTTTTAAGTGTGTGTATCCATTGTCTTTCTCAAATACTATTTACCATCAATGCATCCTCAAGTTGTATGGATAAGAAAATTTTCAGATGGTAACAGAGTTTTCAGTTAAAAAAATTTCTGGGATTAAGAAATATAATCTTAGCCAGGCAGGAGGATTACAAGTTTGAGGCTAGCCTGGCAACTTAATGAGACCCTGCCCTGCCCCTCCCCCCAAATAAAAGAAGAAAGAAAGTCTTAGTGTGGCATAGGGGGAATCACCCAATGCAGCTACCATTTATATAGATTCATTGCCAAGCTTTTTACTTGCATCATCTCTGATCTCTACATACCTCAATGGGTGGGTGATATTGTTCCTGTTCCCAGAGGAAAGAATTGAGGCTCAGAGAAATGTCTTCGTCAAAAAATGTCTTGACTATCATGACCTATAAATGGCAGATATGAAATTTGAAACTTTATCTCTTTGCTCCAAAGTCCCTGTTCTTGGCAGTATGTTTTTCCTTTGTGGTAAAAGCACCATCATGTTGTCAGGCATTGGGTGTTTGCACCTGTCATTTCAGAACACTGTCCTTTGTATGTAACATGATGATACATTAGCTGATGGGCCACCCCGATAACACTCGTCCCACTCTTAAATTGGTGATCATAAAGAGCATTCACAGAATTTTGAGATTTTAACTTAAGTTGTTGCAAGTCTTTCCAAAAAGACCAAATGATGAGGAATTGCCAACACAATGAATCTACAATTGTGTTTCCCAGAGTTCTATAGACATGGCATAGCGCATGGGCCATATCTTGTTATTTGCTACTGTTAGGATTATACCACTTTGGCGGATGCTAGTATAAGCTTTTTCTCTGAACATTTTTTCTCAGACTTTCTCCCAACTTCCAGAATCATCTCAGCAGGTAAGTCCAGGACCTTCTAGAGGATAGCCTGCAGGGAAAAAACTCAGGTCCATATGAAGCTTAAGAAGTGGTGTTAGGTCAGCATCACCAAAAAGAAAAAAAAAATGGTGTTAGACTGGTGACATTAGACAGGTCCTCCAAAAATGAGAGGTTTTTTTTTTTTTTTTTTTTTTTTTTAGAATAAGACATAACCCAACAGCCATATCTTCAGGGACATGTGACTGAATTAGTTCTAATGTTCTAGGGAACCAAAATTTCAGGTCTTATACAGGTGCCTGTGAGAAGCCACTGTATGAGATTTTATCCAGCATGGTCTCTATTGTTTGCATTCTGTCTATGCTGAGGAAGGTGACAAGGATTTGAGAAGGTCTACCTTAAACTCCCTGAAAATCAACCACCAAGAAAACCAGCAATCTTCCTAAGATTATCCCAAAGCCCGTGATTTAAAACAAGACTGAGATCCCCTTTTGAAAATAGAGTGTATGAGGCCAAGAGCAGAAGCAGAGAGGGAGATCATTTGGGCAATTACTATTCTAATCCAAGGAATGATGGTTGGTTGCCCCTGAAATGGCCCCGGAGATGGCCGAAGAGATGAGTTAAGACCCATAAGAACAAGAGATCTGCAGATGAGTTGAATAAAAGGATTAATAGAAAGAATAATGAAGGAGACACAGGTTTTGTCTGAACAACTACAGTGATAATGGGACCATGAGTGAAATGTGGCAAACTGGGCCGGGGCAGTGGCTTAGTGGTGGAGTGCTTGCCTAGCATGTGTGAGGCACTGGGTTCAATGCCCCGTACCACATAAAAATGAACAAATAAAATAAAGTTGTTGTGTCCATCTACAATTGGGAAAAAAAGTCATAAAACTGGAAAAAAAAAAGATGTGAAAAACTAAGGAACAGCAAGTTTGGAGGGTAGAGTGGTGAGCTGGGGGAGGTTATTGAGGAAGAGCAGAATCAAGAGTTTTCCTTCAGGTATATGTTTGATATACCCATTGGCTGTCTGGATGGGTAGTTGGATATAAAACTTTAGAATCCCAAGGGAGAGAGTGAGAGAAAGCTGAGAGGTCAAGTGGAGAGTCATCAACACATAAGTAATATTTAAGGTCCTAAGACTGGAATCACTTTCCTGAGGACAGAATGTAAATAGGGAAGAGAAAGGATACAGAGAATTAGCCCTGGGACACATCAACCCAAAGAGGAGGTGGCCTTAGCAAAGGCTGTTTAGAAGGAACAGTGCATTGGGAGAGGGGAGAAAAACTGCAGAATGGTGTGGTGTTGTACAAGTCAAGGTAAGAAAGTGTGTGGAGAAGGGGATGGTCTGCTGCAGTCAGGGCTGTTGCTAAAGGGTCCCGTGGAATAAGCTCAAATTATTGACCTTGGCAAGATGGAAAAGATGGCGACCTTGAGAAGATCCATCACTGGGGCGGACAGGGGTGAGAGCTGAGCTGCAGTGGGTTGAAGAGAGAATGAGAGGTGACAAAATGGAGACCAGTGCAGACGGTGTATTCATAGTTGTGGTTTCTGTCGCCCTGTTAGCTAGCCATTTGTCGTGTTGTTGGAAAATCTCCAAAATCTTAAGCTGTAAAACAGTGAACTGAAAGTTACACACATTTCTAGGGAATTTGATCTTCTGTGTCTACATGGGAGGATCAGGCTTTCATGGAGTCCCTTGATGTTTATCCATGCTGTCTTAGCTCTTCTTTGACACTAATTGCTTGAGTCTGTCCCCTTCAATACATTAAAAGGAGATAAAATAAAAACTCACATTTAATAGAGCACTTCATATGCTGTTTAAAAGGTATATTTGCTCATTTAATTTTCACACTGCTTCTTCTAAATTCCAGGCAATCCATTTATAATTGAAAACTTGCAACTTACCTTGTACTTAAGTTGGGGGAGGGAGTCCCCGTGTTTCAGCAAAAAAAAAAAAAAAAAAAAAAAAAAAAAATTAATTTTCTCTGTGTTTGTCTCTTCTCAGTCAAATGCAAAATACCAAAAGCTTAAATAGCAGTGTTGGGATTAGAACTCAGGCAGCCTAGGAGCTCTAGACCCTTGATGCCAATCAACAAACTATCCTTTAATTCCAGGCAAATGGAAGGGGTACTTCAGAAGGAAAAGCAGATGGCATCTGATCAAACCACTATTGGCATAAAATCACATAAAACTATAATGCATTCAGCTGGAATTGAAAGCTGTATCCTGGAAACCCCTGATAGTTGTGTGTGTGTGTGTGTGTGTGTGTGTGTGAGATCTTCATAACAATAGAGGCTGCACTGATGGGATGCTGGTCTGTGCATTACTCTCCCCTGTCACTCATTTCCCTCTGCCAATGAATTGCCCCTCAAAGTGGAATAAAAGTTCCATGTATATACACTTTTCTTTTGGAAAGCTTCTTAATATTTTTCTACCTGAGAGCCATGAAAACCCCTTAGTGGTTGTCTTTATTATCTTTCAGACTGTCTCTTTTTGGGGTTGGGTCAAAGTGAGAATAAAGGATATTTCCCGAGGAATAAGCCCATAAGAGGATACATCGTCCTTTAAATTAGAAAGGCCTACCTCTCAATGGGTGCCTGGGAAGTGCTGTAGAACTGAGATTGTTTTCGTTCAGATTTTGTTAATCTAAAAATGACAACATAGAACATAGCCAGTGGCATGGGCATTTCGCTGTGGATGATGCGGCTCTAATTGGTATGTACAGGGCATGCCTGTGGAATTAGTCCTTGCTCTCTGGGCCAATCGGATCACTTTCAGCATTTCTCAATGGTTAGTTTCATCTTATAATTAAGTAACAGTGATCATTTCCTGGCAGCTAATGACTGGCTAGAGGAGTTAGAAGCCTCATTAGGTTTATAATTTATCGAATTCTAAGCTCTTCATCTGCAGTGTTGCAAATAGAGAAAGCATCTCAAGTTCCAAATGATAAAATAAAATCGCCAATAGTATTTCCTATATGTGAGAGTTAACTTGTTCTTCAAAAGTTGACTTTACTTTCCAAGGTTTTAAATATATATAGAGAGAGCCCAACTATATTAACATGTATACACACTTTAAAATAAAAGTGAGCTGGGGAGATAGCTCAGTTGGTAGAGTGCTTGTCTTGCATGCACAAAGCCCTGGCATCAATCCCTTTAGGAACCTTCTTGTGGCATTTCCACATCTTTCCCCGAGAGTAGTTTCAACTCTCCATTAATTCTAGAATCATTGTATTTACCCTGCAAATATTTATTGAGTACCTATTATGTGCCAGGCATTATTTCAAATACAATATACAGCAAGACTAGGGGAAACGGACAAAACCTGTTCTTCTTGAGCTGATATTCTAATCTTAAGATTTCTGTCTTTTCAACTACCCAGGAAGACTACAATTAGATGTGTTCAAAGTGGCCAAGCTAAAGGTAGAAGAGGACTCTAACTGTGTCACCCTAGTCATGCTGCCTCTGACTGTCCTCTCTCATTGATGTGGTCATTGGGTGGTAGCACCATCTTCTGCTAACTCAAGGATCACTCACTCATTCATCAACCCAATAGGGGGAATTATAATCTTCCCTTTAGAGAGAGAAGAAAGTGGAATCTCTTCTCCTAGGAAAGCTATTGCCTACCTCTTCATTTTGGAATCTGACAGGAGCTGGTCAGGTTTTGTTTTTTTGGATTGAGCCCAGGGGTGCTTTACCACTAAACCACATCCCCTTTTTAAAATATTTTATTTAGAGACAGGGAATCACTGAGTTACTTAGGACTCACTAAGTTGCTGAGGCTGGCTTTGAACTTCAAGATCCTCCTACCTCAATCTCCTGAGCTGCTGGGATTACAAGTGTGCACCACTGTACCTAGCAAAAACAGTAGTTTCTAATCCCTTAATGAAAACATTCATTTCTACATCTTGGTACAAAGACAGCCAGACCTGCCCTCCAAGGCTCTAGAATTCTAGAAATGTGGAATTTAGAGAACTGTGATTCTTCTAAAGGCCTTCTATCCTGCTTAAATCAGGTAAAGACCTCTGGAGAAAAGGAACACCATCATTTTATAGCTACTCACCCTTGGACTTTGATCAGAGTCACTCCTGAGAAATCCTCAAAGATCTTTTCCCTCCAGGCTCCTGGTGGTACATACCTATAATCCCAGCTACTTGGGAGGCTGAGGCAGGAGGATCGAATGTTTGAGGCTAGCCTGGGCAACTTAGCAAGACTTTGTCTCAAAATAAAAAATAAAAATGTTCTGGGAATATAGCTCAGTGATAAAGCACCCTAGGTTCAATGCCTAATACAAGAAAACAAAACAGAAAAATTAAAAAAAAAAAAGAAATAACAAACAAAATTTTCTCTCCAGATTCTCATGATTTTCTTAAATCAGAGTAACCTCAGGTGCTCTGAGAAATTCCATGGCTCTCTGACCATAGGAGCAACTCAAGATATGTGATTCCTTGGATCATCAGGGGTGGCAGAAGCACACGGCAGAACTCCACAGAAACTTCTGGTGTTTGATTTGTTTATCAGATCAATCCTAAAATGCTGGCATGAGAGAAACTACTCCTGTCCTGTGTATAATCTGTGGGTGTTCACCATGGTGCCTCTGTGAAAGTTAGCCTTCTGGTCCTTGGTTGTAGACTTTTGCAATAAGAACAGGAATAATGCCTCATGAACCTAAATCCAATTCTTTAAAGGGGTTCCGGAGAACCCTTTTTAATTCCTGACCACTTTGACCTGAGCACTGTTTATAAATAGGCAGAATGTGTGATTGTTGTCCCCCTTTATTTTGTCAGAAGCTTATTTTCTTCTATGGACATTCTAAAATTTCAAGACACTACTCATTATTTTGGTTGAGGTGCCATGTAACATATATTTGAAGAAACACCCACCTATTTTAAAATCTTTTAGCAGACTTCACAACACAGATTCCTGTTTCATAAATACCCCCACCAGTAGGAATCCAAGAGGAAACAAATTGGTCATTATTTAATGGACATTCTGAATGATCACTTTCACATAAAGTCCATCTGGAAACTCAGAAGTAGACTTTTACTTGAAGATAAAACTATCAGTAGATTTAAATCACCATTCCTAATGTGTCTAGCAGTCCCATTTACCTGTAATGATGGTCTTTGAGTTCATTCCTGGATGAGAGCAAAGATACTTCTATAATATACACTTTTAAGTAACCAGTTTTCTGATCAGGAGTTTGATGGTGCCTCTCTGAATGAGCATACCATGGAAAGATCAGACCATAGAGTCTGAAACCAAACCCCAAACTGCTCTATTTCCCCCACCCTCCCTTTTTTTTAGGTCTAATGAAAACATAGAGATTGAGGGTGTGGCCCCACCTGGTAATATCTTCAGGAGTGGAATTGTGGCAGTAAAAAGAACATCAGAACAATCATTATGTTTTGAGAAAAAGCGAGGCTACTTTGAATGATGGAGGCTCCTTTTCTCTTCTTCATAGGAGAAATTTTGTGTTTCCTTTACAATGTGGGGGAAGAAGGATCTGCCCAGGGTCCTCAGAAACTGGTGGTGCCCCACAATTACTAGCCAGCCACGAGAGATTTACTAACGGAACAACTAGAAAATTCTACCCAGAATGCCAAATCTGTGCATTCAAAGGGCGAATCCAAGCTTTGGAAGTTGTGGGAATGTCTTCAGTCAACACTCCTCAATAGTTTGCACTGTGGAAACACCCTCCTCACTAGGCCTAGGGATTAGGAACCAGCACCAAGGACTTCAGCCTGGCTGAGTCTGAGAGAGTACCCTGAAAGGGTGTATGCATGAAGTTGGGCTCAGTGCCTCTCCTAAAATGCCTTTCCCTCCCAGGTCATGAGGTCAGGTCTGGCAGGACTGAATGACTCTGAATCTCTACAATGAGTGGCATCTGGATAGCTCAGTGGAAGCAGGCAATCCCACACACCCCACACTAGGATTGCAGGTTGGGTGAGCTGGACACCTAAGAGGATATCTTCTGGGGAAGTCAAAGAAAGCTTTTGCCAAGCCTGTTAGGTGAGTCAACAGACAGAGTCTTGATCTCTGCTTTTTCCATCCTGATTTTTTTTTTAAATGACACTAACTATAAAGAAAATCCAAAAATAAATTATCTGATACTGTATATCTATATTCACAAAAGATGTTAATAGATGATTAATTGGTTATTTTTCCCAATACATTGGCTGTCTTTTTACTCTGGACATGAGTGTTAAAGCAAAAAATGTTCAGTCAAAATCCTCTCTAAAAAGGACTTAAAGGTTAATATCTGGCATACAGTGGGATCAGGCCAAGTGAGCTCAAAACTTTAAATGGAAAAAAATGGGGAAAAAAAAAACTTTAAATGGTATAATTCATCCATGAAAACCATCCCTTCTCATTTTCTCCTGAACTTTCATCTGCAAAGTTCTAAAGTGGTCTTCAGGAAAAGGGCAGTATAGCTATTTTTTTTAAACAACAAATTCAAGAGAAATACAGAAATGGTCTCGTCTAACCCACAAGTTCTCCCCACAGTCTGACCATAGGCCATGAGTTCTCCATGGATCAGACCAAGAGAAAGAGTTCATTCACTGCTTCTGAAGATGCTAAAGCTTTTGCCAATCCTAAAAGTGACCTCACCTTTTTGAGAGGAAAGGACATTTGGTCTTGGATTTGTAAGCCCTTGCCTTTTGTAGATACTGAAGTGGGCTTTGGGGAAGACAGAACCACTGTTATCCACGCATGTTTGTAAGGCAGCCAGGTCTTCGGGGGTCACAGAAAGTAACATAACTGTTTTCACCTTTGCTGGCACCCCAAGTAGGCAGCTGGCTCCATTTGCAGGGGGACATTCTAAACAATCTGAAACAGAAAATTCAGTAGCCCTTTCCTGAGTACCTAATAAATTCACGCATAACCTCTGGTACCTACTCTTCAGGGAAGAGCCCCTGGTATCACGAAGCCCACCTGAAGCGAGGATTTCTCCAAGACTTGCTTGGGTCCCATCTCGCTTTCCTTTCATGCTCACAGCAGGGCTGATTACTGCAAATTGGTGATGAGGCAAGGTGGCTGGCTGGGAGGTGCTCCTACCTGGGGGTGTTCTGTTGTTTTTACAGCCAGTGCCAGCTCTGAGTGGATGGTGAGTAAGAGCCTCTTCCTCTTCCCTCTGGGCTGCTCTCCTCTCCATACCATTCTCGTCGCTGGCCTATTTCAGATATGGTGGTGAGCAAGGGCGGCTGCCTGGCTCTGGTGCTTCCCAGACTTGGGACCCAAAACTCAAGAAGGCAACAAAACGCGTAAGTGAGGCCTGCAGAGGCCTGTGCTCCCTTTTAGCTGGTATCCCTCCCTGCCCGAGGGTTTCTGGGGAAAAGTGGCCAGTGTGGAGATGGTACTACAGCACTCTTTCCTCTTAACTTCCTCCAGCGAGTAAACGGAAGTGCTCAAGGGGCACACAGGAGTGAAATTGAGCTCACCTTCCAGCCACCTCGGAGCTGGTTTTCAGTTAAGAAAGCCTTTTCTCTAAAGGAATCTTACTTCTGGAAGTTTCTCCTTTTAAATTAGAAATAACATCCTCTTGTTCATTCTTACATTTGAAAATTACGATGTAAGAGTAATTATGGTTACCCATACGTGCTTGGAGCTGGTTTTGCTATTCCCCATTCTGTTTGGGAAAATAGTGTTGGTTTTGGATCTTAGCTGCTCTCTTATGTTACATCGCTAACATTTTTGTCAGATGCTTGATTATTACAATCAGATACAGAGAGGAGTTTTCTTCCAGAGAGATCTCTACTGTTCATGCTCAAAAAATTTGTTTTATACACCCTATAGGGAAAAAAAATTCATAGATGTCTTTGATTGATTGATGTGTGTGAGTGTGTGTGTGTGTGTGTGTGTGTGTGAGAGAGAGGGGGGGGGAATGTGGTTTGTCTTGCAGCTGTAAACTGCAAAGATTTCTGCATCTTGAAGTGTACAGATTGGTTTCTCATTTTGAAACTTGATCCTTTTCAAATTTGTAGATTAATTGAATCCAGCTTTGAGTGACACTTTAAGAAACTCTCTCCTGGAGCACCCTGAACCAGGTGCTCCAGGCTCACCTGCTGGCAGTGTTTGATTAGCAGCCAACCCAACCCAGTGTTCTTATTTGTGCCAACTCCATTCTAAAAATGTAAGTCTGTGCTTGAGAAGACTAGTCATGCTCATTATTCAGACCTCCTCCTTGGAGGGAATGTGCCAAAATCACAGAAGCAGAAAATCCAGGAACAGTGTGAGGCCTGGTATTGAGGCACCATAAAATCAGAATTTTACCTCATGAAATTGCTTTGTTCTTGGTACATCATCCTTTCCAGCGATGAGCTCACCAGCCCTCGCTCTGTCTCTGAGCGGGATGGCATCGTTGCCATCCTACAGATGGAGAATGGGAGATGCAGCTAGGGAGGCCAAAGTGCCTCAGAGCCAGTGACCTAGCTGGAACTGGAGCCAACTTGTCTGATTTCTCTCCAGCCTGTTGCTGAGAAATGGCAGCTTAGGAGAGGAGTGCTAGGGGACAAGTCACAATTGCCCAGTGCTGCCCCAAAACCATCTGTGTTAGAGTTACCACCCAGAGACCAGGAGAAACCAGTGAGTCAAACCAGAGGGCTACATGGAGGCATTCAAGGATAATGGGGAAGAAGGTTAAAAATGAGGAAAGTGAGCACCTAAATCCAGGAATGTAGAGAACATGCTGGAATATCCTTTTTCGGTAGACTGCGATGCCTCTTTGAACTGTGGACTGAAATATGCTAGATAATATCTGTTATACAGAAAGTATAGAGTGTCCTCCAGTAGGAAAGAGTAATCAAAGTAAAACTAAAGCATAAATTTAAATCATTGATTAAGTATTTATTGAGCGGCTCCCATGGCCCAGGTCCTATAATATTCACCTTTGTATCTTCATTGCCTCTCACATGATAGGTAGATGGGATGGATGGGCCTACCGATGTTCAGGTGAACACACATTTCTCATGAGGTTTTAAAGATTTAAAGACTCCTGTCTTCTTCCTGCTCTTCCTTCCTTGGGACACACCAGACCATCCAGCAGACACCTGTCTCACCCCTCCCAGAACCGCCCACTCACAGGAAGGAGAATTTCCTTAATGAAGGCAAGTAAACACCAGCCTGTGAGCCCAAAGGGTGGAAGCCCTCATGTACTTTTACCCTGATTCAATCAGGGAAAACTGTGTCAGGAAGAAGGACACACCCTAACGACTCACCCAGGTAACATTTGCATGTCACAGGCTGGGTCCAAGCAAGCCAACACAGAGGTGTATTATTCCTCCACCTGGCAATCAGAGCAAATTTGCCTTCTTGGTCTTCAGAGTTCCACCATCCTACGTTCGCTGTCTCTTGAGCTGTCCTCCTGAGATCCCAGCTTGACCCAGATATAAACAGTCAGGATCTATGAAGGGCACACCAACCACCATTATTTATTGAATGCCCTCAATGCATTGGCCTCACATCAAATGCAGAATTAGATTACTGTACCTGACCAGTCGGTTCACATTTTAAACAAATAAATAGGCAGATAGAGGTGAATTAAGTAGAAAGGAAGGTGGAAATATACTCCAGGGAGAGGCTGGTGCTGGGGAGGGGAAACCGGTCAGAGCTGGTCATTTTGTGAGCCTAAGTAGGACAGGACCTTAAACTATTTCAGATCCAGCTCCTTGTTTTTGATCAGCCAGAGGAAAGGCAAATTTGTATGGGAGGCAAAAGATGAGCCACACACTTCAAGCCTTTCATGTCGATTCATTCCTGGGTGATTGTTTCCATCTTTGGACACAGTGTGCTTTTGTACGTGCAAACCATGGCTAGCAATTGTTTTTGTACTTTCTAACTCTTCTAATAGACATGAGCTCAGTGGGAGCAAGGAGTTTGTTTTCTCCATCTGAATTCCCAAAGCCTAATCAATAAATGCTTGTCAAATTGATATATGATATCCTTAACTCCCACCCCCAAAGTCACATAACAGGGTGGGGATGATTATAATTGAGTCTCAAATGAGAACTCGGTCCAGGATGTGAGGTGCTTTAGGAATGCAAAATAGAAGTAATTGGATTTGAGTATCAGACAGACTTCTTGACTTTAGTATTACTCCTCCTGCATCTTGAGATAGTGGGATTAAGAGTAGAAGCAAAGGCTCAGACCGGAGTGGCTGAAGCAGATCACTGCATCACAGTGAGGCCAGAATGAGAAGGGACAAAGGTGGTTGAAATGTCAATTCTGGGCAGTGGAAAACCACTGAAGCTGTTTAAGCCAAACAGTAAAGAAGAAGAAGGAAAGCTCAGAAGAGCTGACTCCAGCATGCCAGGCAGGAGAGGCTGGAGCCTGCGGTGCTAGAGGCAAGGAACCTGCGGAGGAATATATAGCAACAATCCTTGCACCACACATTGAGAGTCTGGGGGAATGAATTTCAAGATTGTGGGGTATTTGGGTGGGGGAGATGGAGATAGGTATATCATTGGTATCCACCGTTTTCTCTCTATCTGAGGATCAAAATAATCATAGCATGAAATAATCAAAACACTTCATTGAGGGTTTGCAATGGGCTGGTCACTGTTGTAAGCATTTTATGTTTAGTATCCCAATTCAGCCTCACCCCTTTGAAGGACTATTATTAGTTCTATTTGACAGGTAAATCAGCTGAGGCACAGGGAAATTTGGTAACTTGCCCAAGATCAGATGGTAAGATGTAGAGCTAGAATTCAAAAAGGATGTAAGACCACATAGGTCCAAGCCTTAACCACAAATATCTACTTCAACAGGTTTGTGGGAGGATTTATGGTATGATGAAAGAGATTCTAAAAAGTGATGTGTGTTATCATCATTTTGAAAGGAGATCAGAGGGGCATTTTCTGCCTCGGCTTATCTACCATCATTATTAATTACCTACTCCAGTTTAAGGAGATCGGTACACAATAAAATTTAAAATCTGTGACAGGATAATGTTGCTTTTTCTTTTGCCTTTTAAACATTGTCATTTTTTTTTCATTTGAAAAGGAATGATATTTATTATAAAAGTCTAACTCTTATAGAAATAAAAGATATAAAGAGGGAATGGCCCATGTCATCCTAATGGCCCCCCAAATCGTCATCCATTGTTGGTGTGGAGATTTTTCCAGCTCTCTTCTTTCATGTACGCTGATGTATTATCATCACTTGTGTTCATGTAATCCTTCCCAAGAGTGATCATACTGTTTTGTAACGTGTTTTTCCTTTGATAAATAACACCTATTTCCTTGTCAGTACATACAGTTTAATCTTATTTCCTTTAAAGTTATTTAGGATTCACTTTCACTTTTAGCATCACCCATGGGATTCATGTTCTTTTCTAATCAGCAGAGCAACAAATCTGATGTGGCTTGGATTCTTGCCTCAATGCCACTTGAGTTCCTTTGTGTCTTAGGACTCAAGGAGAAGGAAGCTCAAATGGGACTTGGTTGTCTGTGAACATAATAGAAGCTAGAGTTTGCCTAGTATTTACTATCAGATGTCAATACTGAGGCCTAGAGAGGTGAAGCAACTTACTTGCTTAAGGTCATAAGCTAGAAATTAGGAAGTTTGAGCTTGAACCTTGGCTCTTTAGAGCCTGAATATTTAACAGCATACTGTCCTTTTATTGCTTTTACAAGTCTTCTACTTCAACTGACTTAAATGCAGTGGTTTCCATAGCAACATGTGGAGTTCAGTTGTAGAGTAAAAGTCAATAAAGATGAGCTTCACGACTGCCCTGTATGGCACACTAGCAGCTGAAAAGGGGGAGTTGTCAGGAAGAGCCTCTTCATTTCTGCTACTTCTTCCTGCAGCCTCTCTCCTCAGGTCAAAGTTGGCCTGGAACTTGGAACGCTGCCCATCAGTGTCCCCAGAGGATGCCTCTAGGATTTGAACCTCATTTAACATCTATCTTGCTGATGGAGGCCATGAGTGGAAAGTTCCTGAAGGTTCCTGGTTGGTGTGGTGATAGAGCGGCTGCATCTATCCACCCACCCAGCAAAACCCACAGGGAAATTTCCAGAAAGCTTATTTAAGTAGTTGAACAAGGAAGATCCTTAAAAGGACCTTGGTTTTTTAATCTAAGTGAACCAGACTGGTTTAACATACAGTCTCTTTTTAATTGAGTAGCGTGAACTCTCTCCTTAGTGGTGTGCTGGGAAAGCCTACGCAAAGACGGATGAGTGAACCCCACACTGCTACACCCCTGATACCATTAGTAGTTGAATCACTTGGTTGTACCAAGTTTGTTGCACCAAATTATTTCTTCTTAGATGGAAAACACTTTTTCTATGTTCTCAATACTTCTGATAGCAAATGTGTCATCTAAACCAAGCAATTCTTTTAATTCTCTGAACACTAACTAGGTGTTCTACATTTAGTAGAACTAACTAATCCTGACACTATCTTACCTGGAGTTAATATCAAATCTTACAAGTCAAGGGTTCAGTCCCTGCTATGGTTTGGATATGATTTGTCCCCCAAAGGTTCATGACACTTGGTCCTCCATGTGGGTGTATTGGGAGGTGGTAAAACCTTTAAAAGGTAGAAGCTAGTGGGAGGCGGGGAGGGTGCTGCCCTTAAAAGGGATAAAGGTAATTAGTTCTCTTGAGACCTTGTAAGTATCCCAAGAACAAGAAGGGCCCTTCCTCATACTCTTATCTTCCTCTCTTGCCATCTGATCTTTCCCTCTTGCATATATTTTCACCATAATGCCATCTGCCACAATGTGATGTGGCCACCAGAGACCAAACAAATGGGGTCACCTGTTCTTGTGTACTTTCAGCCTTCAAAACTGTGACTTAAATAAGCCTCATTTAAAATATGCATTACCCAGCCTCTAGTATTTTGTTATAGCAACAAAAACTGGACTAATATAGTCCCATAAGACTGTCCTGAAGAAGTGTAGGTCTCCAGAACTTCTGACTAACTGGCTATACACAAGGGATTCCTATAATCTCCTCCACTGCAGGCTCAATGATTTCCTATAAAGGCGCACAGAATCCAGGGAAACAGGAACAGCCAAATATATAACCCAGGAACAGCCAAATATAAGAGATGCATAAGGCAAAATATTAGCAGGGGACAGGGGTGGGCAGCACTTCCATACCCTCTCTAGGCAGACCACTCTCCCAGCATCTCCATGTTTTTACCAAACCAGAAGCTCTCTGAACTCCATCGTTTAGGGGTTTTATGGATATTTCATCACAGAGACAAAATTGATAAAGTCTTTGGCCATTGGTGATTGAGTTCAATCTACAGATCCTCTCCACTCCCCAGGAGTCTGGATGTAGGGTTCAAAGCTCTAACACTTTAAGCACATGGTTTGTTCTTCTGGAGACCAGTCCCCATCCTTCAAGAGTCACTTCATTAACATAAACTTAGTATGGTTGAAAGGATTTTTTTTAAAAAAATAACAAAATAGTCTCCTCTCACCCCTATTACTCAGGAATATCCCAAGAATTTTAAGAACTTTTTGCCAGAGGGCTGGCATATATCGCTCAGTGGTAGAGTGTTTGCATGCCAGAGCCCTGGGCTCAATCCCCAGAAACAAACAAATACACACACGCACACACAGCACGCACACACGCACGCACGCACGCACGCTTGCACTTTGCCAGGAACCTGGGGATGAAAACCAAATATCTATTTATTATGTATATCATGATATCACACTCCCAAAAGTAGTGTGGCCTAGAAAGGAACTGAAAATTGAAGTTCGGTTCTCATCTGATCCATTCTACAGCAGCCTTTCATAATGCTCACCCAGGCTTTGTACCCATCAAGAAAAATGAACCCAGTAAGCACAAAAATAGATTATTGCGCTTTCAGAATAAACCAAACTGCAGCAATGGTCTTCTTTTTGTGAACTGTCATCTGCTGTCCCAACACATCCATCCTTCTTGGACCAAACAGAAAACACCAGTTTTCCCCCTTTCCTTCCTTCTACCCCTTTTCAAAGGCAGTCATCATTTCCCTGCAAAATCTCTTTTCCAAGTTAAAGTTCTTCTCTCCTTTACCTGTTGTTCCACACAGAGATCTATAGTCCCAGACTGTTCAGACTTTCTTCCTCAATTGTGTTCTAAACTGTCCATGTTGTTCTCAAACTGCGGCATCTAACACAAACACACAAAGACAATCACTAAAATTGTCCATTTTTTTTTTAATTTAAGCAATACAGGAAAAAGAAAACTATGAACATAGTTGTTTTTTTAAAAATTTGGTATATTGTAGTAGCCTTTTAAAATGCCTTTTGGGAATACAGGGGGTAATAGTACTTATTCACAGCCCCTCTGTTAGATAGATATTATATAAAAGTAATAATTCTTAACTTTTCATATGTATCTGAGTAAAGATCCCTGGTGTACCAAATACTGTGGTTTCTTTTTTTTCTTTCTTTTTATTTTGCTACTGGGGATTGAACCCAGGGGCTGCTTAACCACAGAGCCATATCCCCAGCCTTTATATATATATATAATAGATTATATATATATAAATATTTATATATATAAATAATTTATATATATTCTATATATTTTTATATATATATAAATATTTTATTTTTAGTTGTAGTTGGACATAATACCTTTATTTTATTTTCATATGGTACTTGAGAATCTATCCCAGGGCCTCGTACGTGCTAGACGAGCACTCTACTACTGAGCCACAACTTCAGTCCCCTTTTTAATATTTTATTTAGAGACAGAATCTCACTGAGTTACTTAGGGCCTCACTAAGTTGCTGAGTCTGGCTTTGAACTCAAGATCCTCCTGCCTCAGGGATTACAGGTGTGCGCCACTGTACCTGGCAATACTGGGGTTTCTTAAAAGTAAAAGAGGAAATGTTGTAGAATATTTCTTTATGCTAGTGGTTCTTTGAAATGGATGGCTGAGCCCTTAAAGGTGAGGATATTTTTAACCATACCCCCACACCTTGCTGCTGCCTTGCTGGAATCATGTTACTGTGAATTTATTCATATCACCTTGAAAGAGCTCAGAACTCCCCTCCTTCCCTCAGGACTGAGGCACCCTCTCCAGATCCAGATTCGTTTTGTAACACTAGAAGATGGTAAAAGTAAAGTGATAGATAAGGTTTACCTGGAAAAGCTTTCTTCCACTGGAAACTGTAACCATATTCATGTAAGATTTTATATACCCTTTGAAATTACTTCTCTGGAGAAATTCTGTTGGAATCTACCAGGCAACCCGTGATGGGGCACATGTGGAGGTGGGAAACTACATTATACGTCCTGGTATCATTTCTAAAAAGCATATGCTTGCGGGGGGTGGGGGGGATTCTGCATCACAGAAAATTATTACGTTTAAAGAAACCACTGTTAAAAAAGTTAACAGTGCCCTTCAGCCATTGGCTAAGTAAGAAAAGGAGGGCAAAGTTTTAAAGACAAATGCGTTTTAAATAAAGGCCAACTAATTATAGCAGGGAATGTGTTGGATAAGAGTGGATGTGTGTAATTATATAGTAATTACGTTGAAAATGTAATCACATGCCACCAGCTAGCTACTTAAACATTTTGCTGGGGGATGAATTCACCTCCAGCAACCATCCCCTTCTGATCTCAAAGATTCACATTGACTTTGTAAAATGTGTGATATGGTCTCTTCTTAGAAGGGTAACCTTTTCCTGGCCAATTAAAAGGTGCTGCTTTGAGGATATTGGAATCCGCACTCAAAGGGATAAAAGGAAATTGAAACTTCTATTAAAAGGAGATAATGATGCCTGGAGCAGTTGGGATTAAAAAGAACAAAGTCAGTTTTAAAAAGATTCCCCAAATCAAAGAGCGGCTTCTCTCATCAAATACCAGGAAAAAGCAAAATGATTTTTTTTTTTTTTAATGAAGAATGGGGCAATGGAATCACCCTTTTGCCCAGATGCTGGAACTTCAATCAAAACCAGTGAGAAGTTTTAAGCAAAATTCTTTGAACTTTCTGGGCAATATGTGCTATAGAAATGTGAGATATTATCATAAAAAATAAATTAGTTTTTCTCCCAAATTAAATGATCCAGAAAAATATTGAAAGGGAATTAATAAAAAAGATAGTGTAAATAAGACTGTTCTGTATATGTGTGTCAGATTCCCCACTGACATAAAATAATTCTGGGTTAAAATATAGCATTTGGATGGCTTGTGATGTACACAGTGACAGTGCTTGGGTGATTACTGTGGTTATAATTATTGTAACCTTCATATACTCAGTATAATTCCTTATAACCATCTGCATTAGTCTGCTTGGACAGCAAAACAAAATATCACCAACTGTGTGGTTTCAACAACAAGAATTTTTTTTTTTTACTTGTAGTTCTGGAGGCTGTAAAGTCCAAAGTCAAGGTTCCAAGCAGGACTTGGTTTCTTGTGAGGGCTCTCTTTCTTGCTTGCAGGTGGCTGTTCCTCACTATGTCCTCCCATGGCTTTGCCTTTGAAGATACTTGGGGAGAGAAAGAAAAGGAGCTCTCTGGTGTCCTTTTCTTTTTCTTTTATATTTTGCAGCGTTGGGCATCAAACCCAGGGCCTTGTGCATGCTAAGCAAGTGCTCTAGCACTGAACAACATGCTCAGCCCTAGTGTCTCTTCTTAGAAGGACAACAATCCTGTCTGATCAGACCCCCACCTTTGTGTCTTTAATTAACCTTAATTGCTTCATAGAAACTCCCATCTCCCAGTATAGCCACAGTGGGAGTTAGGGTTTGAACATAAAAATTTGGAGGGACACAAACATTTTCATAGCACCATCCAATAAGTGTGGCTTCCTGCCACACTTGTAATCCATAGGAGTGCCTTTGCCACTTGGAAGACAGTTGAGCCGGAAGGCTGACAAGCCATCGGGAAACCTGAAAGCAAGATAGTGCTGTGCTTTCTATTTCAGTTATACAAATTTGGAATCCGCACTCAAAGGGATAAAAGGTAATTGAAACAAAATTGTTTAAACTCCTTCAAGGTGTTTATCAGTGGCTGATGGAAAATTCTCCATCAAAAGTCGTCACTTTTGAGCACCGGTTATCTGTCCAGCAAATCAGGGTACTGGCAAAGGAAGCTTCACAGTGTCCAACTTTATCGCCCTCAACCTCCACCCAGTTGTGGTTTTAATGGTGGCAAAAACCATTATTTTGGAACTGAAAAGGTCTTCTAGCATAAAACTATTCATTCCTATTTATACCAGGAGGTAACACTATCTAAAGAAACCCAGAGTGCCTCATCTCAACTAGGAAATTCTAGGATGAATTCAGTGTTCTGGGACAAGTAAAGTGTTAAATTCAATTACCAAAAAAAAAAAAAAAAAAAAAGTGTGCAGTCACTTTTGTGTCCATGTGTATTAAGCAAAGGCAAATTTACCCAGTGTCAGCCATCAGTATGAGCAGTTTAATAATTTGAGCTAGATAAAGAGAAAAGAGGCTCTGAAACAAGAAAGATGACTCTTCTCAAAAGTCAAAGACATCTGGACTGATAAGAAGGCAACCGAGAGAAAAGCTAACGATAACCAGGAGACACGGATCATAAATTTGCCTCAAAGTTCAGACTGGGGGTCATCCTGCTGAATTATAGGCAGAGGTCACCGTGGTGACTTTGGAACTGTGTCCTGATTTTGATACCCCTAGGCAGCCTCTTTCACCACGCACTCTGCTCCAAACATTAGGAGATTGAATATGCATAGATGAAAGAATCACCCAATACAACCACGCGTTATGGGTTACTCATAGTTGATGAGACTATGATGTCCCTGAGAAGCAGGTCAGCCTGTGTCTCGTGCCGTAGGCCTCTGCCTTACCTGTGCTATGTCAAATGACCAATAAAACTTCCCTGACAGCTTAACAGTTTTAATCTTTGCACTTCCCTATGATCCCAGGGAGGCCAGGCCTCCTGGAGAAGGTGTTCCAGGATATCAGTTCATGCAGAGTACAAGACACATATGAGTCTTTCTGTATATGTTTTAAAAACCTAATATCAGTTAATGTTGATGAGCTAATATATGTTTATTCATATGGCCCAGGCATTTAGCTGGTTGTGTAAGAATGCAAGCATGGAACAAGTGTGTGCATGCGTGTGTGTGTGTGTGTGTGTGTGTATGTAACGTGTATATACATTATATGTATATAATTATATGCGTATTATATATATATATACATATAGTGTGTATGTGTGTGTGTGTGTATGTGTGCACGCGTTGAGAGAGGAGTGGGAGGAAAGGGTCATACATCATATTCCATTGATCCTGAGCAGAACTTTTGCTTTATTTGAAGTGTGATTTTAAAACTAAGACAAAGTGCAACCTTCTAATTCTAGCTACTCAGGAGGTCACAGCAAGAGGATCACAAATTTGAGGCCAACCTGGGCAACTTAGCAAGACCCCATCTGAAAATAAAATAAAAAGAGTTGGTGGGGCTGGGGTTGTGACTCAGTGGTAGAGCACTTGCCTGGTATGTGTGAGCTGGGTTTGAATCTCAGCACCACATGTAAATAAATAAGTAAAATAAAGGTCCATTGACAACTACAAATTATATTTTAAAAAAAGAATCAAGCACATTAGAAAAAAAAAGTTGAAGTTGTAGCTCAGTGGTAGAATGCTTGCTTAGCATGTGTGAGGCACTGGGTTCAATCCTCAGTACTGGAGGAAAAAAAAAAGTAAGACCAAATCCCCTTAGATCTGATGCTGTAAAATGAGTAATATTATGCAAACTGCTTGATAAACCTAAATTGTATACCATACAATTATGTGATTTATCTTGAGTCTGATTGTCATTTCTGCCAGTAGGGCCACTAATCTGCCTGGATTAGGAATTCTGGATTAAGGAGTTCCATGTACCAGACTGTGCCCTAGAACTGGATTTTTCAACATTGATTCCATTAACATTCTGAACTGGATGGTTCTGGGTTGTGAAGAGCTGTGATTGGCCTTGTAGGATACTTAGGCATATCCCAGAGTATCCCCTAGGAGCCATATTGCCCCTGTTTATAAACCACTGTTCTAGACACATGATATGTTCGAGGCAGGGTGTGGTATATGCAAAAAGCATGAGCTGGAGAGACATATTCTTGTCTTTATTTCTTGAGTCTCTGTTCAGTGTCATGAACT